AATAAATAAAATTTATAGCCGAGAGTAAAACAACTGCCAGGTAAAGACATGAGGGACAAAATGAATAATAATAATAATAAAAACAACAATAATAATAATAGGAAAAAAAAAAAAAAACAATAAAAAAATGATCAGACTAATTTCAGGTTCATTCTTAGATGTTTACCTAAGTCAACGTTTCAGACTTCAAAGATGTCAGATGTCTGTCTGAAGGTTGTAATGGTGGTGCTTTAAACGTGACAAAAACATCAAAAAAGCAAAAATTGATCACACTTTACCAAATCAACAAGTTGGTTGAAACTTCCTTACTGTGTAGTTGCATTATAACCGCATCACCATCCAATAAGCTACATGAAAATGTAGAGGGACATTTATTTTACAACACAAATGTCCTCGGTTTCAAATTTTATACTGAAATCAGCATCAAAATTTGCTGTACTAATCTTTCCTTTTTCAGACACAACCTCCTTGAGAATGTCAGGTATGTGTGTGCTGTTTTCTTACTACAGTACAATCGACTTGTTTACCACTCATGTTACTGACAGCTTTATCCAGAGTACAGCAGCTTGCCCCAGTCAGGGAAAGCTGCAGGTTTAACACAGCAGAGCTGGATTATCAGGTTCTACAGAAAATGCAGGGGGGCTGTAATTGAGTTTCCTGGCAGGGAAACACTCAACTGCATCACTTTAGCTACCGAGTAAATTCTGTCAGTGAGCAAATACAATCACCTCAGGCTTGTGTGTTTAGTGTACGAACAATCACCCTGCCAGACTCTAGCCAAACCATGGGACTCCCCCATTGTTTTGTCTTTTTCCACTGATTCCACCTCAGCCTGCATGGTATGAATGAGAGCTAATACAAAAATTATCATCTCAGCCTCCTCTGAGACTTGAAGGCTTTAATTACCAAACTCAGTTGTGCTAAATGAATGGGGGATGACAGATATTTGCTCTCTGAAGCACAGTTTCTGAGAAACTGATTTAAAGGAGGGTTGTGGCTGTCCAAATGCCAAAAATGTTATTGGGTTAGTGTGATGCTTTCCACAGAACCACCTCTGGAAACTTCAGCATTCGCAAAAGTGACAGCCAAGCAATACAACCCACAAGCCAACCAAACCATTAAGTTGTTGCTTCTTACTATATTGGTGTATGACAACACAACTGGGTTGATAGTAGGCCTCACCATCAGTGTTTTTCCACCGCAAATGAATGACTATTTAAGCAACAAGTGTTTCCATACATGGATTTCCTCTTCACCTGAAATCAGACTCGTTTTTATGTACACTACCTTTTTTTGTTTTTGTTGTTGTTTGGGATCAGTAAGATTTTTTTTTTTTGCCAAGTGTTTTTTTCTTTTCTGTATTCTGTTTTGAAAGAAATTAACACTTTTATTCAGCAAGGACACTTCAGATTGATCAAAAGTGACAGTAAAAACATGTATAATACTCCAAAAATTTTAAACAGCACAACTGTTTAACATCGATAGCAATAATAAATGTTTCTGGAGCATCAAATCAGCAAATTAAATTGATTTCTGAAGGATCACGTGACACGTAAGACTGGAGTAATGGCTGCTGAAAATTAATCTTTCACAATGAATTACATTTTAAAATACATTGAAATATTTATTTCACAATAGGACTGTTTTTTAAAATATTTATCATGGAATAAAGGTGCCTTGGTGAGCATATGAGACTTCTTTCAAAAACATTTATAAATAAATCTTACCGATTCCAAACTTTTGAATGGTAGTAGCGTGTATAATTAAAGCATTCAATTTGAATGGAAAACTACACAGAGTCTGGATAGGGTGGGGCAAGACCCCCACACCCATCCTGATCACATGATCCAAAGCTCCAATGATCTTTTAATAAAATTAAAAAAAAAAGGCTTTCCCAGAGAATCCCCAATTGCCTTGGCAAACACTTCACCTGTAGACAGCTTAATTTCTTGGAAAAGAAAACATCATAATGGCATTTTTGGTGTGGCATGACAGAAGTTCAGTCCAACCTGATCCAACAACAAAAAAAGGCCTTAATTTGTTGACAGGCTGTAACTGAGCACATCTAAAACAAAGCTTCTCTTATTATTACAGTTTGTCTTATGATGTACACAGTGGGGAAGAATGGGACGGGGTGGAGATGAGAGGGTCTGACAGTTTCTTACAGTGCCATTAAAAATCTGGCAGCATGTTCCCTCCAGTCACTTCCCTGAATGAGATCTCAAGAAAAGAGGGAACAACAGAACCACAGAATGAAGCTGGCTACTTTACCAAGTGGTGACGCCACAGAACCCCAAAAGAACCAAAGCTCAGAAAACCTGCTGAACTCAAAGCAAGTGTTTGGATAGTGTGCTTCCTCGTCCATTAAAACAGGTATCCTGGCTATGATAGTCTGTTTAGGTACCGAGATGTGTACCTAATGTGAATAATTTGTTCAAAAGGCCTCGCTATTGACTTGTTTATTTTTCATATCTAATCTATTTCAGCAGTTTAAACTCTGTTGACCTAACACCTCACCTTTTTTCCAAAAATATGTCTAACCACAAACATGACAAAGACAAGGTGGTCAGACAGGTTGGACTATTTGAATACACTGAAAAGGTGCCGAATCAGGTCTGTGTAGATTTATTAGACAGATGAGTAATACAGAAACAGCTTTTGGAATGATGTTACTGTTTACAATCAAAACCTCCTTCACAACTAGCCAGTGGCTTTCTTTTAATTCTTATTATTTATTGTACTATTATTTTATGATGTTATATTCATGAAAATTAAGCACAATAACCATTCAAATTCTAATTTCTGCAATGCAAAAAGTAGTGATTTATTATGTAAATTATAAAAAGGATTAAAAATCATCATAAATCAGTAAAAAAACAGTATTTATCTATTGCAGTATTAGGATATAATAAGAATGTAAGGTAATGAGACTTTTGATATGAATAGAAATGAAAAATATTCAAAAAGGACAAACATCCGGAAGCATTAGAAATGAGAACTTGGAGGAAAATGTGCTTAACTGTCAAAAAAAAAAAAATCTTAATGGTCCTAAAAATAGCCTTTAAATTTGGGCATGTTTCATGATTTACCCATATAGCAGTTAAGTCAATGGGTTTCTCCAAAAATATATAATAATTTATATGTACCATGCTTTGTGTCTACTCACCACTACATGGTGGAAAAGGAGCTCCCATGAATGACTGATCTTCTGGTTGATAACCATATCAAAGAAGTCATATATAAAGTACCCTGAAACACAAAAATGCATATTAACAATATATTTGTCCAACAGTGGATCATTCAACAGGTTTTTCAAGCAACAGACCCCATGACAACAATTGTGTTGGGTACCAAGATGTCATTTCCAGAGAGCTATTTATATCCATCTCCCAATATGAGGGTCTCCATGGAGGCTGCATTTTAGAGCAAAAGCCACAATTTTAAGAGCTGCCGAGTTATAAATTGGCTGATGTGCATGTCAAACCCATGTGCCTTGCAGTTAACTTTTTATGGACATATATTATGCAGAGATAACAGTACTGAAAAAAATGCTATAAATTGTAAAAGAGTATAAAAATTAAAAGTAAAGGCCCATTCATTAAGAGTCATGTGACTTGGGGGTAGCACTCCTGCCTGGGACGGATCATAAAGCTAGCCATTCATTCTGCAGCTATAGTTAACATTTCTGCCAAATGCATGTGGGCTTCCTCCAAGTATTTAAAATATCTCTGGTATTTGGCAATTTGAATGGGAATTATCTACTTTTTGGTTGAAATAAACATTGCAGTCAACTGCGCAACATTTAAGAGTGATGCAAAATAATAGCACAATACACAAATAATAGCTAATAATCCAAGAGGAATGACATGCAGCCAATTTCTGTGATGCTGGATGTTTTGGGGTAAGTTTCATGTCACAGTCTTATTACTGCAATGCAAGACAAAAAAATCATTATTGTAATGCAAAGAAAATAATACATTATAAAGTATTTATTCATGGTATTACTGTCATACATTTAACCCTTATGCTGTGCTGAAGATCCTTTTGCGTAATTTGGTGATCCCAGTCAAAATTACTTGTACAGTAGATCTGTCATTATTCTATATTATCACAAAATCTTGGGTTCAATCTTTCTGTCAGGTTTTCTGTTCCTTTTTGGAACTTATTGGCAGTAGGTCTCATTGATCTGAGTTCATGCACCTCAGTTTTGAGTGAAAAAAATAATTTTTGTAGACAATTTTGGCAATGTTCACTCAAAAACTGAGTTGCATAAGCTCAGATCAATGAGGCCTGTGATTAATCAGTTCTAAAAAGAAACACAAAACCTATGTGAAAGAAACCAAGCTGATAAAAGATGGAATCTAATATTGGGTAATAATAATAAAGCATTACAAGTAATTTTTAAAAGTAATTTTTAAAAGGCTGGTCATTTTCGAACAGGAACACCACAAGAAACAAGGTGGGGGAAAAAATCTCCAAGTGTACAAAAATAATCCCATTTTTTTTAGGAAGTTGTTGAACCCCAGTCAGTAAGCTTTAGTTCAATGTGATAACATTAAGCAGCATTTTCAGGAAAAAGAAAATCCTCTCCAGGTCAACATGACCAGAACACAGCATTAGGATTAATTAATGCAGGTTTAAATGGGAAAAATAGTATATTAGAATAATATGAGACTAACCATTGACAATAATTGTAATAATAAAAAAATAAAAATAAATAAATAAATACATACATACATACATACACATATATATATATATATATTAAAATAAATAAATAAATAAGGGCGGGGGGCATCTGGAAACACTTTAGAGTAATTATAATTGGGCAACATAAGGTTAATTGTCAAAAGTGTCACAATGCAAAAATAAAAAAGCCTTAATTTTGGGGTGAGATATGATTTGGGAGTAAGTTTTTGTTCGATTTACCAATCTATCAGTAAGGTTAGGGTCACCTGTCAAGTCTAACCCAGTTACATCAAATTACTGAGAGGGCACTGTTGCACATGACAGGAGTGCGTTTGTAACACACGGGCATCAATGTCTACACACCCTCTCTCTGAAGAAACCCCAAAATAACACCGTAAAACACGTATATAATAAAGCTTTCTACTCACCGATTGATACAGATACCAAGGCGTGAGAGAAAACGGAGTATGTTTCTATCAAATCCTCAGCCATCTGGGGATGTATGCAAAAACTACAAACACAGACGACGTTTTACAACCATGGAATGGCGTTTAAAATGAAAATACACCACATTTGTGAAAGATGCTGGGTAGTTGGCACATTAACTTAAACCACAAACGTTAAAATCTTCAAGTGACATGAACCACTGGTGTAAACGTGTCGTCTGTGTGCTGGTTATCAAATAGCCATATCTGTTCAAATTACATCAGTTCAGCATAAAGAGGCAGCTGAGAAGATCTTACTCTTGGATAAAATTCTCAAGCGTCTGATAAAGGCATCAAACAGACAGCGCAAACAGGAATATATGGGTGTGTAATGTATTCTGACACTCACCAAAGCACAGACCACACTCCAGTTAGGAGGCTGTGCACGAAAGACGTGGAGATGTTTTTCCATTTCCAAACGTTCCTCTGAGCTGTCTCGGGGATGGGAAGTTTGCCGACTCCATAGTTGACTAATTTGAAAAAACCTACCGAAGATCCAGTGGTCAAAATCACTGAATTCAACTCCATATTTTAAGCGCGCGCTTCTGTCTTGTTATCACTAACGTTACCCAAATCTCTCGCGCCCGTCTAGACCTTAACCCGTCACGCGTTTTATCTGTTATTTAATGAAAAAATGCATCCCGGTTGCTTGTATTTATTTCATTTCACTTTCAGTAATCCAAACATATACGACTGTTGGTAGTCCTTGTATAATTCAAAAATTGCTCGATTATTCTATCTTTGTTAATAAAAAAACAAAGCTCTTTGTTTCAGCGCTCGGTTTGTTCAGTCCGATGTAAAGCTAAGAAGACACTGGTGGCTCAATTACGAGTGGCAACAATTAAATAGTAGCTAATGTGTGCGTTACAAAATCCTGACGCTTGTGTAACTTTTTCTCCTTTACAATAACCAAACACGAGAATCCCCGCCCAATCATCGTGAGGCGCGGTTGAGCAAATGAGCGTCTCGGCCGTGTGTTTCCTTACGTCTATGTCCCGCCCCCATTTCAAAGTTGAATCATGGGAGATGTAGTATAGGCGGGGATTTCGTAACTTGCAATTTAAGGAAGAGAAAGGGGAAAATGCTGTAGGTGTCTTCAGCGCTCTGCGTTCAAGTCCTCCTGGGATGTTCGTATTTACGAGCTGACAAACCGTAATTACGGCCTCAGGTGCGTTGAAGTAACTTTGGTCGGAACAAGATGGCGATTTAACTTTTCGACGATTTTAAGTTACTGTACATCTACAAAATGATGAATAAAGAATGTGCATCATTGTGTTTTTGCTGTTTTTATTCAATTTATGACGGTGATGTAAAATAAATCATTATATATTCTATAGTAAGTATACAATAATCAAATATTTTGTATATGTAACTTCTATAGTTTTACTGTACATTACAGAAAAAATAATTTTATTAATTTCAACAAATTTACCGTCAATAGCGCTAGTCTTTGGCTGTATCGGACTGTCGGATTCCGACACTGACACGCCCCCAACTCGGAAACTCGGGGCTTAAAGAAAATTTCGCACTCATAATAAAGACTTTGTGGTGGCGTTCATGTACGTTCAACTCATAAATACGATCTATCCAAACGACTTTTATGTTTGATGTGCCAATGAGCTTCTCCAGACTCTTCCTTATTCCATCTGTCTGAAAAAAAGAATTATATTTACCAGTCTTATACATAACTTTTAATTGTTACATAACCTATTTAACATAATAATAATAATAATAATACATTTATTTTAAACCAATACAAGCTCATTTGTTGATCTTCATTTAATAAATCGTTGCAGAAGACATCGAGTTCGCAGCTGATTGGTTCATGAGACGGTCAATTCAGTAATAATAAACTATTTAAATAATGTTTAAAATGTCTTTTCCACCAGGGAGTAATTTGAGATGAGGTGGACATGGAATTTCATAATTCGTATGTGATGCATGTGTTCACATGTGGATACGGTGGAAAAAAATCACAAACTACTGAGTCTGAAAAGTGTTTTAATGGAGTTTAATTGCTAAAAGTCGCAGTGGTTCCGTCGTCTAGCCATAGGTGATCACACACCAGTGTTTATACATGAAACATCAATTAAGCAAAGATGTTCCTACAAGTATCTTGGTATCCATATGGATGATAAATTCAGTTGGGGGATGCATGTGGATGCAATTTGTTCTCGTGTGCAGCAAAGATTGTATTTTAATGAGCGTCTCGGCCGTGTGTTTCCTTACGTCTATGTCCCGCCCCCATTTCAAAGTTGAATCATGGGAGATGTAGTATAGGCGGGGATTTCGTAACTTGCAATTTAAGGAAGAGAAAGGGGAAAATGCTGTAGGTGTCTTCAGCGCTCTGCGTTCAAGTCCTCCTGGGATGTTCGTATTTACGAGCTGACAAACCGTAATTACGGCCTCAGGTGCGTTGAAGTAACTTTGGTCGGAACAAGATGGCGATTTAACTTTTCGACGATTTTAAGTTACTGTACATCTACAAAATGATGAATAAAGAATGTGCATCATTGTGTTTTTGCTGTTTTTATTCAATTTATGACGGTGATGTAAAATAAATCATTATATATTCTATAGTAAGTATACAATAATCAAATATTTTGTATATGTAACTTCTATAGTTTTACTGTACATTACAGAAAAAATAATTTTATTAATTTCAACAAATTTACCGTCAATAGCGCTAGTCTTTGGCTGTATCGGACTGTCGGATTCCGACACTGACACGCCCCCAACTCGGAAACTCGGGGCTTAAAGAAAATTTCGCACTCATAATAAAGACTTTGTGGTGGCGTTCATGTACGTTCAACTCATAAATACGATCTATCCAAACGACTTTTATGTTTGATGTGCCAATGAGCTTCTCCAGACTCTTCCTTATTCCATCTGTCTGAAAAAAAGAATTATATTTACCAGTCTTATACATAACTTTTAATTGTTACATAACCTATTTAACATAATAATAATAATAATAATACATTTATTTTAAACCAATACAAGCTCATTTGTTGATCTTCATTTAATAAATCGTTGCAGAAGACATCGAGTTCGCAGCTGATTGGTTCATGAGACGGTCAATTCAGTAATAATAAACTATTTAAATAATGTTTAAAATGTCTTTTCCACCAGGGAGTAATTTGAGATGAGGTGGACATGGAATTTCATAATTCGTATGTGATGCATGTGTTCACATGTGGATACGGTGGAAAAAAATCACAAACTACTGAGTCTGAAAAGTGTTTTAATGGAGTTTAATTGCTAAAAGTCGCAGTGGTTCCGTCGTCTAGCCATAGGTGATCACACACCAGTGTTTATACATGAAACATCAATTAAGCAAAGATGTTCCTACAAGTATCTTGGTATCCATATGGATGATAAATTCAGTTGGGGGATGCATGTGGATGCAATTTGTTCTCGTGTGCAGCAAAGATTGTATTTTCTGCGTAGACTCAGGATTTTTGGAGTGGAGCAGAAAATCATGTATTTATTCTATCAGGCAGTTATAGAGAGTATAATTAGGTATGGCATTACGGTATGGTTTGGTAACCTTACAATTCAGGTAAAGTCTAAGCTTGCACGCTTGTTAAAAATAGCAATGAAGACAATTGGGAGAAAGGAGTTTTTGTCCCTTGAGTCACTGTGAACAGTCGGTTCTTAGGGAAGCACATAAAATTTTAGCTGACACCGTAATTACGGCCTCAGGTGCGTTGAAGTAACTTTGGTCGGAACAAGATGGCGATTTAACTTTTCGACGATTTTAAGTTACTGTACATCTACAAAATGATGAATAAAGAATGTGCATCATTGTGTTTTTGCTGTTTTTATTCAATTTATGACGGTGATGTAAAATAAATCATTATATATTCTATAGTAAGTATACAATAATCAAATATTTTGTATATGTAACTTCTATAGTTTTACTGTACATTACAGAAAAAATAATTTTATTAATTTCAACAAATTTACCGTCAATAGCGCTAGTCTTTGGCTGTATCGGACTGTCGGATTCCGACACTGACACGCCCCCAACTCGGAAACTCGGGGCTTAAAGAAAATTTCGCACTCATAATAAAGACTTTGTGGTGGCGTTCATGTACGTTCAACTCATAAATACGATCTATCCAAACGACTTTTATGTTTGATGTGCCAATGAGCTTCTCCAGACTCTTCCTTATTCCATCTGTCTGAAAAAAAGAATTATATTTACCAGTCTTATACATAACTTTTAATTGTTACATAACCTATTTAACATAATAATAATAATAATAATACATTTATTTTAAACCAATACAAGCTCATTTGTTGATCTTCATTTAATAAATCGTTGCAGAAGACATCGAGTTCGCAGCTGATTGGTTCATGAGACGGTCAATTCAGTAATAATAAACTATTTAAATAATGTTTAAAATGTCTTTTCCACCAGGGAGTAATTTGAGATGAGGTGGACATGGAATTTCATAATTCGTATGTGATGCATGTGTTCACATGTGGATACGGTGGAAAAAAATCACAAACTACTGAGTCTGAAAAGTGTTTTAATGGAGTTTAATTGCTAAAAGTCGCAGTGGTTCCGTCGTCTAGCCATAGGTGATCACACACCAGTGTTTATACATGAAACATCAATTAAGCAAAGATGTTCCTACAAGTATCTTGGTATCCATATGGATGATAAATTCAGTTGGGGGATGCATGTGGATGCAATTTGTTCTCGTGTGCAGCAAAGATTGTATTTTCTGCGTAGACTCAGGATTTTTGGAGTGGAGCAGAAATCATGTATTTATTCTATCAGGCAGTTATAGAGAGTATAATTAGGTATGGCATTACGGTATGGTTTGGTAACCTTACAATTCAGGTAAAGTCTAAGCTTGCACGCTTGTTAAAAATAGCAATGAAGACAATTGGGAGAAAGGAGTTTTTGTCCCTTGAGTCACTGTGAACAGTCGGTTCTTAGGGAAGCACATAAAATTTTAGCTGACCCATTGCATGTATTGCATACAGAGTATGAATTGTTGCCTTCTGGAAGACGGTACAGATTTCCAATGTGTAGGTATAATCGTTTTAAAAAGTCTCTTATACCCATGTCAATTAAAATGTTAAATGATGAATGATTGTTTTTTTTTTAATTTTTTTTTTAGGGTGAGTATAGGAATTATGTGCATATTGTGTGTATATTGTTATTTATGGATCCAATGGTCTTGTCAATGTAAACACCTTGAGTCCAACACAAATTTCCCCTTTGGGGACAATAAAGTGTGTCATTCATTCAATTCAACCAGTGGCGTCGAGCGACATCTTGTGGTCCTCTTCATGAAAGACATGTTGTGTTGCACAATATTTATATATCTTTTTTTCTCATTTCAATGGAAGTCCATGATAATCAAAATTGTTTGGTTAGCAACCTTATCAAAGTATTTTATTTTGTGTTCTGTATGGGTTGGAACGACATGAGGGTGAAATACATCACATACAAATTGTATACCGATATCAAACTTATTTTACTATAAATATTTTACTTGTCACTGAAAGATGATCACTATTAACAAATACTACTACTACTTAATGCTACACTATTGTTATATATTACAGTTGTTGTTTTTTTCTTTTTGATAAAAATACATTTTATGCACTCTATGCACCCCCAAATATTATGAATTTCGAATTTGAATTGGGAAAAATCTCTCTTTCTCTCTCTCATAATAGCATTAAAAAGACTTATGCTAATAGCAATCTTCAAATACTTACTTGTTTTGATAACCACACACATATTGTCTATAATGCACAGAAGAAACAGAAGTTAGATTACAGAAGTGGCTCATTACTAGCTTCACTCGCACGTTTTAATGTCACCGCCACGAGCGCTGATTGGCTCACAGCTTCGCCGCTGCTGTGTCACGAT